TGGGATGTGGGGTCACAGTTTCAGAGAAAGGGATAGGCCATCTTGGACAAAGATAAGGAGAAATTTCCTGTATCTGTATGATAAAATTTCTTATGTCCTTGTAATGCTTCTTACAAATTTTTACAGGTCTCATTAATTTCTTCTATAAGGCTCACACACTCTTCATCAATTCTCCATCCTGGAGACTGCAGATACTCAGTCATCAAGTACATTCAATTTATAGGTTAATAATTTGTTTTGGCAGCTGAGAGGATTAAGGGACATGGTGCTAATTCAGGAAGATGGACTTGAGGTAGACAACAGGCTACAAACATGTTGGGTGGTGGAATTGGCCTGAAGGGCCAAAAGGTCTAGTCCAGCTCCTAGCTCTTATGTACTTATGAGGTGTTCTGCACTACTTCTTTCAACTTATACAATTTTTCTTAATAGCTTTGACAAGTCTCATATACTCCTCCAATTATATGTCAACTTATATCAGGATTTTAAATCATCAACAAATATAGTGAGCCAATTGTTTAAGAGATCTTATTCTCTCTTACTCTTAGCAGCTGATGACTTGAATACTCGTCTCAATGGGAAATATCAGGCTTTGACAAGGGGATGCAATGATTTCCTTTCTGGGTAAACTTCATATCTACTGATTTTCAAAATAATTACCTTTTCATTTTCCATGTCAAGTTTGTTTTTCAAAGACTATTCACACAGCAGCATAGGGATTTCATTATTAAATCAGTACATACAAAATAGCTCACTCCAGCTATTTTCCATGGTATTACAACTCTCAAGTATCATCAAAATATTGTCATTACCAAACCTGAGGCAAGTTGTATTTCTACACCCCTTAGTCATGCATCAATCTTCCTACTTAGTGAATCTAATTAGCATTTTGACAAATCTGTCTCATCTATCTTTTGAAGTATAAGCAGTACGTATTTCCACATAATTAAATGAGTCCACAATGAACACATTCATCACAGCATTAAACTCCTTGGACCAACATAATTTGTTTGAATCCATCAATATTTATCTTCTTCATTGTGTTATTTAAATCAATGTCTCTTTGCTTTGGTTAGTTTTGGAGGAGGTTCTGACTATTTAAGATGGCAGCTGATGAGCCAAAGGGGCAGTTTGCTTTGTTCTATATGTTGATGAACTTCCTGTTGGAGCACTGAGTCACACTGAAAGGACTTATTAACACTTCCAATTGATTTGCCCAGTGCTGTGTTGTTATTTTGTCTTCTGCTGCAATAACCATATATGCATATGATGTCTTCATCTCTATTATGCAATCTGTAATCCTTCCAGTATATTGATGCCAGTGTACAGTATTTGAGTTATTTGAAAACCAGGCAAACATTGATACTGCTAATATTTGTATCACCGCAGAATATCTCATTTTTCCAGGAAAGCTAAAAGAAATGACTACTTTCCCAAGAATTTTGTTAAGGCAGCCAACATCTAATCCAACAGAGTTTCCTTCTTCAACAGCCGAATGTCAATTAGAACCATATCTTAGCACAACACAGTAAGTGTAACACTGCTGCTAATCAGGAATTGCCAAATTGGACTTTGTCAACCTTTTATACAATTAAGTTCCATGACATTCTTCCAGGGGAATATACATCTGTTTTCTGAAATCTAGCACAAATGTTTCATTTATCAGAGTCAGAAGTCACACGACACCAGGTTATAGTCTAAGGTTTATTTGAAATCACAAGCTTTCAGAGCGTAGCCCTTCCATCAGGTGACAAAGGGGCTACGCTCCGAAAGCTTGTGATTTCAAATAAACCTGTTGGACTTCAACCTGATGTTGTGTGATTTTTGACTTTGTCCACCCCAATCCAACACTCGCACCTCCACGTCATTTATCAGATACTTCCAGTTGTACTTCTTGGAGAAAATGACAGTACCAAGGCTATACTTTGCTTCCACTTTTGTGGGGCTGTATGTCCCACTTCAATCTTCCATTGGTCATATGTTACAGTCTTCAAGGATATCAGAGGTTAACCATACCACAACAAGTTAAACTTATTTTTGATTATTTCCACAATGGTCAATAGGATTGTACTTATATGTGAAATAAAATGAATGGTTTCCAACGTCCACTTAGGCAACCATTCTCTGGCCATATACTAACTGAGGTAGCTAGTGGTGAAGGGTAGAACTGGTGCCTAATATTTAAAAACTTACATTTTCATTTATAGAAACAAAGAAGCCTTTCCAAGCTCAACCACTATTGTTTCAGCTTGCTCCTATATATACACATGTGAATCTCCAGTTAATGTCCACCAAGTGAATATTATACAATACTCAACTAATATAAAATTAATCATTTTTACTGCAGAAGTAATGTACTGCTGATAAAATATACATTTTGTCAGAACTTTCCATCTTGTACTCATCAAGATAATTCACAAGAATACAAATTCAAGTGATAATTCTACAATTACAATTGAGGAGAGTGCTGATTGGTAGTAATGTTGTCATGGTGATGTCATTAACAATGATTGACATTTAACAGCCAGGCTTTGTTTAAATTATATACTAGGCAGGAGACTCTGATTGGTCAGGGCAGATGTTTTACCCCATCATACAAATGAGTAATGTGATACATTAATTGCAGTGTTGGTGTGATGCAAATATGTAGGATGTATGCCCCAAACGCTATTGGATCATATCAAACAGAAAGTCTCTTTGGCTATTCACAACCAGTAAGGTACCGACTGTATCCAACCAACCCAAGCTTGCAAACCTCACAGCATTCTGCAATTGGAATACATTTTTTGGATAATCCTAAATAGGCAGGGCATTATGCTGATAACTCATTTTGGATTGTCAGTTGGGCTTTGAGTGTGGAGCACTTAGGTGTCCCAGAAACTACATATGTGAATGCTCAGAGCCCTGTTCTTTGCAGACAGAGATAACATTTACATGCACTGCACCATTTCAACTCAACAAAATAGGAGACATTAGGCTTCATTTCTTAGGGCAGTGACCTGATTAATTAGAGTCAAACTACATGATTTAAAACTTAAACAAAGTCTGACTGTTAACTATCAATCAGCATTAATGGGTGCATTCTCCATGTCAGTGCCTCTACCAATCAGAGTCCACATGTCAACCAATCAGTACTCTCCTCTCCTGCAGCATAATTGTAGGTTTTTCCCTTGAATTTGTTCTCTTGTGAATTGTCCTGATAACAGCAAGGCAACAAGCTTCATCAAAATATGTCTTTTCTCAGTAATACTAATATCAAATTAACAATCCATCTGTCTACTATGTTCAGATTTAGATTATAGCATTGTTGGCTTAACAACCAACTTCTGCAAACTTAAACTAAATTAAAAACTTTGTTGCCCATCTGTTATCCCACACAAAATTCTGATCACCTATCACTATTCCATTTGCTGAACAAAATTGGTTCTCCACCTTGTTAATATTGGTTTGCCAACTCATGAAGAAAAAATTTCATTTAAATGTCTGAATTGCTTTATTAGCCTCAACCCTCTCTATCTCTTTAAATACGTTTAACCCCACAAACAGCACCACACTGTCTTCTCCCCATCCCCAACCCTGCTTTCCCAAAATCATCGTGCACGCTTGCCTTCATTAGTCAAAGCATTGAGTATAGGAGTTAAGACATGATGTTGCAGCTGTACAGGACATTGGTGAGGCCACTTTCAGAATACTGCATACAGTTCTGGTCATCTGGTATAGGAAGGATGTTGTTGAACTTCAGAGGGTTTAGAAAAGATTTACAAGATTGTTGCCGGGACTAGGCGGTTTGAGTTATAAGAAGAATTGAATAGGCTGGAGCTGAATTGGCTGGGACCCAAAACATTAACTCTGGTTTCTCTCCACAGATGCTGCCAGAACTGCTGAGCTTTTCCAGCAATTTCTGTTTTTGACCATAAAAGTGCAGCCACTTTAGCTAAGTCGTCCTAATATTTCCTGCTGTGGTCTACAGTCTACTTATTGATTATGCTTCTGTGAAGCACTAAAAAGTGCTTTATAAATGCAAGTTGTTGTCATTATTATTATTACCCATCACTTCCAGACAGAGATCCGTTGGGTATAAAAATAGGTATGGTTTTTGCTCCCAGCTGGCCAAGTGTAGTTGTAAATTTAGCAGAAATAGGGAAAGAAGGTGTCAAAGTACATTTGAAGTGACTTTTTATGGTAACTGTGCTGATAGAATATCCTAAGATGTTTAACTTATGATTGAGCTTTGCGGTCAAATTTGAACAAACTGCTGCCCCTTGAAATATTTTTCCAGGAAATGAAAAATATGTGGAAACAGTTTATATGCTATGCAGTCATCGAACAGGAAAGTTCTCACAAGCACATGACTGAACAGTTCTGTAATGCACCACTCACTGGCGATAGACATATGTCTCCAAATGTAAACACAAATAAATTCATCTGAAGCAGTACTGACAGACTTGTAAATCCTGTTAAATTGTAACCTTCTCAAGCACCTGCAGATACTTTAGCTGAGTGCTTTCCTTGATTAGCACCCCATTGCTCAGGCACATATCAAACCACTTAATGGAAAAACCTTTCCATTACACTTCAGCCTGAAAGCATTCATAAGAAAAACAAAAGAAGCACATTTCTATATTTAGCAAGAAGAATTTCTTACAATCTACACTCTTGTGCAGAATTCATGAGTGCTGATGTTTTCAATTGACAATATGCTGCATTACAAATGAAGCAAGAAATACACTATTAAAGCTTTATTTTCATTTTGGTTATTTCTGGCATTCAAAGTCCACTTCCGTGCAAAGTTAACAAAATATTTTCAAAATCATTAAAATAAAAGCAATGACAAACGACAGGATGATCCAGCATCTTTATAATTTTAGCCTTAAAATGCCTCAATTTCATATTTAACTGCTAGATATGAGGCTGATTGCAAATCATGCTATGTTCTCTGTAACTTCAAAAGAATTTATGACTGCACCACTATAAAAGTGGCAAAAATAGTTACAGTTTCTTACCTGGACACCAGTTTTCATTCAGTTTTCTTTAAGGCTTTGGTATGTCGATAGTGATTAATACCGAAGTAACTAATCCTTCATTAAACACAATTATCTTCAATAACAGAATCTGCAATTACAAATAATCACAAAAGAAACACTCAAAATTTTGACGAGAACGTATTAAAGAAATGCTGCTGGCAGATGTTACTATTCCGTAAAATGTAATTTCCGCAGCTAAAACAAACAGTAAAAACAGTAACTGCAGAAAACAGGCTGACAATAAATTGGAAATATGAAAGAATGGAAATTAGGAATTGTTCAGAAGATCTTCATTTTAACATAGCTTGCAAAAAAATTAGCTGTGATTTGGATGATTTATGTTGTGATTTATGTTCTCCAAAGTGCCCTACACACTGGCTCAGATTGTGGCATCAGGAAGTGGCAGATAAGTTTATTTTTTAAACACTGTTTGTGTTCCATCATTATGAATTTCCTGATAATCTGCAGGCTAACGTAGCAGGTACCTATCTGTCCAAGATACCCAGTTTTCTGAGTTTTTTTGTGGCAATATGTGGTGAAAGGAAGAGTGGCAGTAAGACTGTGTATTGTTTTTCCCTTCATTGCCAGAGCCAAAGTATTATTGGTAAAACAGGTAACACAGGGAGTGCCTGCATTTTGCATGTCATGCATCCATCATTGCTCAAACTCAGAGTGATGCTGAGCTCTCAGCATTGCTGCCTCCACAGACCTTCTTTGATCAGAAAATGTATGCTGTAAAAACAAGTTCTCAACAGGTGTGAAGCTCAAGCTTGCGCAGTTGCATCCTACTCCACTCCGTGCTCTAATTTTCTTTTTATCACATCAATCAGAAAAAGAATGCTGAGGCTCTAAAACATTGCTGCAATGAAAATCATCTGTAATTCTGACATTCTAAGTCACAGCTTATCACATGACTAATCTAAAGCATTCTGCAATTTAATAATAGTTAAACACTCAGTCAAAAGAAATGCAGCAAAGGGACATTTGCGAAGGTGTTAAAACTGTGAACGTTTATACAGCATCTATTGCAGCCATTCTCTAACAATTGACCTAAAAAATGGTTCGTACTGGCAAGGTACCACAAACTGGATGCAGTCGAGAATCACTCTACAAGGAGGCTCAAGACACACCAGACATTGTGTCTTACGGGCCTACTTCTGGTTTACCCTCCTCCACACATATTTAAAAACATGGTTTTTTCAATGACCAACTCCAGTAATCTCTTTAAGGACTGCTGGCTTCATCTCATGAATCCTGAATCAGCTGAATAAAACTCTTAAGTATGATGCTAAGTCTCCTATTTGCATATGCAAAGAGTTCAATACTCGATTCAGATATTGGCCAAAATGCACTACTCACTACATTCTTGATGTGATTTTATTTAATTATTTATTGTCATGTGTACTTAAATACAATGAAAAGCTTTGTTTATGAGCAGTACAGGCAGATCTTAATAAGCAAGGTCTTACAGATCATGACGTGAAAAGAAAAACTAGACAGAGGCATACAAGTTACATCGCACAGGGCGTGCGCTAGGCAAGATCAACATTAGCAAGATCAACATTTTTTTAAGTTAGAGAGTCCATTCATCAGTCTAATAACGGTGGGAAAAAGCTGTTATTGAACCTGTTGGTGCATGTGTTCAAGCTTCTGTATCTTCTGCCTGATGAAGAGGTTGTAGGACAGCATAACCAGGGTGGGAGGGGACTTTGATGATGTTGGCAGCCTTTCCTCGGCAACAAGAAGTGTAAATTGAATAGATAGAATCCCTACAGTGTGGAAACAGGCCCTTTGGCCAACAAGTCCACACTGACCCTCAGAGCATCCCATCCAGACCCATCCCGCTATAACCCACCTCATCTACACATTCCTGAATACTACAAGTAATTTAGCATGGCTAATACACCAAACGTGCCCATCTTTGGACTGTGGGAGGAAACCAGAGCACCTGGAGGAAACCCACACAGACACAGGGAGAATGTGCAAACTCCAAACAGTCAGTCGCCTGAGGGTAGAATCGAACCCGGTTCCCTGGCACTGTGAGGCAGCATTGCTAACCACTGAGCTGCCGTGCCGCCCCAGATGGAGTCCATGGATGGGAGGTTGGCTTCTGTGATGGTCTGGGCTGTGTACGCAACCTTCTGTAATTTCTCACTGTCCTGGGCAGAGCAGTTCTTATATTAGGCTGATATGCACCCAGACAGTATGCTTTCTATGGTACATCTGTAAAGGTTGTGAGGGTCATTATGGACATGCCAAATTTCCTGGGCTGCTGGAGGAAGAAGAGATGTTGTTGTGCCTTCTTGACTGTCACATCTATGTGGGAAGTCCAGGACAGGCTGTCACCTATTGTCACTCTGAGGAACTTGATGCTTTCCACCCTTTCAACCTCTGTTCCATTGATGTAGGAGGCGTGTTCTCCTCCATTCTTTCTGAAGTCAATAATCATAAGAACATAAGAACTAGGAGCAGGAGTAGGCCATCGGCCCCTCGAGCCTGCCCCGCCATTTAATAAGATCATGGCTGATCTTTTTGAGACTCAGCTCCACTTACCCACCCACTCACCATAACCCTTAATTCCTTTACTGTTCAAAAATTTATCTAGCCTTGCCTTAAAAACATTCAGCGAGGTAGCTTCAACCACTTCACTGGGCAGGGAATTCCACAGATTCACAACCCTTTGGGTGAAGAAGTTCCTCCTGACCTCAGTCCTACATCTGCTTCCCTTTATTTGAGGCGATGCCCTCTAGTCCTAGTTTCACCTGCTAGCGGAAACAACCTCCCTGCCTCCACCTTATCTATTCCCTTCATAATCTTATATGTTTCTATAAGATCTCCCCTCATTCTTCTGAATTCCAATGAGTATAATCCCAGTCTACTCAGTCTCTCCTCATAATCCAACCCTCTCAACTCTGGAATCAACCAAGTGAATCTCCTCTGCACCCCCTCCAGTGCTAGTATATCTCTTCTCAAGTAAGGAGACCAAAACTGCATACAGTACTCCAGGTGTGGCCTCACCAGGACCCTATACAGCTGCAGCATAGCCTCCCTGTTTTTAAACTCCATCCCTCTAGCAATGGCAGACAAAATTCCATTTGCCTTTTTAATTACCCGCTGCACCTGCAATCCTACTTTTAGCGATTCATGCACAAGGACACCCAAGTCCCTCTGCACAGCAGCGTGCTGCAATTTTTTACCATTTAAAACATAGTCCATTTTGCTGTTATTCCTACCAAAATGGATGACCTCACACTTATCAACATTGTACTCCATCTGCCAGACCTTTGCCCACTCACTTAGACTATCTATATCCCTCTGCAGACTTTCAGTGTCTTCTGCACACTTTGCTCTACCACTCACCTTAGTGTCATCTGCAAATTTTGACACACCACACTTAGTCCCCAACTCCAAATTATCTGTGTAAATTGTAAACAATTGCGGTCCCAACACTGATCCCTGAGGCACACCACTAGCCACTGACCGCCAACCAGAAAAACACCCATTCACCCCTACTCTTTGCTTTCTACGGGTCAACCAATCCTCTATCCATGCCAATACATTACCCGTAATACTGTGCAACTTAATCAGTTCTTTAGTTTTGCCAATATTGAGAGAGATTGTTATCATTGCACCATGTCACCAAGCCCTCGATCTCCTTTTTGTACTTTGACGCGCCATTGTTAGTTATCTGTCCTACCACAGTGGTGTCATCAGCAAACTTATAGATGGTGTTCATTCAGAATTTGACAATACAGATGTGGGTGTACAGTAGGGGGGAGTACAGTAGGGGGCTGAGAATGCATCCTTGGGAAGCTCCAGTGTTGAAGGTTGTCATGGAGGAGGTGCCGTTATCTATCCTCACTGATTGCTGTCTGTGGGTCAGAAAGCTGAGGATCCCATTGCAGAGGGCAGAGTTTTGAGAGCAGTCTGAAGGGGATACTAGTATTGAAGACGGAGCTGTAGTTGATGGGCAAGAGTCTGACATTGGTGACCTTGTTATCCAAATGTTCCAGGGATGAGTGCAGGGCTAGGGAAATGGCATCTGCTGTGCACCAAGTTCACTGGTAGGCAAATTGCAGGGGATCAAGTTGGGCTGGGAGAGCTGATGTGGGCCATGACCAGCCTCTCGAAGCATTTCATGATAATGGAGGTCAGACCCACAGGGCAGTAGTCATTAAGGCTCATTGCATAAATTTTCTTATGTACTAATGAAGTCCATGACAGTGGTGGCATACACTTCTGGGTTTTCCGTTGAGTACTTGAATACTGTCCAGTCCACCAATTCCGAGCAGTCCTGGAAACGGTATTCCACAGCCTCAGGCCAGCGTTCTTTCTGTGAAGGATTCTCCCATTTCAGTTTCTGCTTGTAAGCTGGGAGGAGGAACACAGTGTTGTGATCTGATTTTCCAAAGTATGAATGGAAGAATAGAGCGGTAGGCATCTTTATGGTTGTGTAGCAGTGGCCCAGGATGTTTGGTGCACTGGGTGGGTGGGTGGGTGGGTGAGGGTGTGCAGGAGATGTGTTGCTTGTATTGTACATTTACTGTGGTAATTAGAACCATAGAAAAGTTACAGTGTAGAAAGAGACCATTCAGTCTGTCACATTCCTGTTGGCTAAATAAACTCGAGCCCATTCAAATCCCATTTTCCAACATGTAAACTGTAGCCCTACAGATTACAGTGCTTCAGGTGCAAGTCCAGGATCCTTTTAAATAATTGGAGGGAATCCCCCTCAAGCAGTGAAATAAGCAGCTAATTCCAGACAACAATCACCTTCTGGGTGAAAAAAAATCTTTCATCATCACTCTGGAATTCTACCAGCCACTTTAAATCTGTGCCTCGTGGTAACTGATCTTTCTATGATAGAAACAGATCTTCCCTGTACAGTGTATCCAAGCCCCCCATTAGTTTCTACACCTCAAGTAAGTCACCCTCCAGCCTGTTCCAGGGAAAACAATCCTAACTTATACAAGAACTTATAACAGGCTACAAAGCAAAGTCGAGTACAATTGCTGGCCACAATGCATCCCTCCCCACTGAGCTCAATGCATTCTTTGCTCCCTTTGAACAGAAGGTCAGTGAGATGAT